GGAACTCTTGAAGACAAACCAAAACTGGGAAGAGGAGGAAACCAGGCAAGAATAAGAAGAGACCTGAAGAGGAAGGGAAAGCAAAGTGATTCATCAAGAGACAATTGAATCTTAAGGAGGGGAAGGTTGTGAGACAGTAAAATAAGGACCGATAGAGAGGTCCCCACTTTTGCCGATCCAACCAGGACCCCGGAAACTCATATCAGATGTTCCCGGCAAAATTGGGCAAATTTTATATGTAGTCTTTTTACTCAGCCTATCATATATTAACTTTATCTTGTCATTAATAGGAACATTTTTTTTTGTCATATGTTTTTTACCCTTCTATTAGTCGGGACCCTTTTTTTAAATGTTTGTTACAATTATATATTTATTTATTATTTATTATTTATTATTTATTATTTATTTATTTAATTAATCATCCTTGCTATTAAAATAGAAACTAAATGTGAATGTGTTTCATCTGCATTAAAAAATGAATAAATATCTAATGAATCTTGACCTTGTGCTTTGGCACTGCATGCTCTTTTGCTATGTATATGACTGGAAAAAATTGAATCAATTAAATTGTTTTTTTAATAAAAATATAAATATAAATATATTTCTTACATTTTTAAGTTTTTTAGTGAGTACCATTTATCTAATTTTAATTCTTTTCCACATATGCATCAAATATGGTTTGGATTAATTAGCTGTGAAAAATATTTATGTCTGCACAATTTTATTTCCTTAGGACACATAGGGTTTTCCATCAAGTGAAAGTTCGTTGTATTCATCATTACTGCATTCATCTAAGTTATCATTATGTTCATTGGATTCATCACCATCTGTATCATTATTTGCATCAATTTCATCAAAGGAATGTTTTTTATGAGTATTGTCAGCAATTAAAGGGAAATTAAGGGTTGTCTATTGCGGCTGATTTATTGTATTAGAAGGTATAGTTTCTTTATTATGGTCTATAGATTTATTTTACCCTTTTTGTGGCTTGAATCAAAATGTGTAATAGATATTATAGGGAAATCAAGGGTCGTTTGTATACATTTTTGTTGTGAGCATTCCCCATTATTCTCCATTATTTTTGTGAGAAATTTTGTGAAAAAAAAAAAAAAAATTTCAAATTGATCATATGGTGCGGTAACACCAACTATATTTTATATATATGACTTTATCCTGTTACTAACAGGAACATTTTATAAATTAATAATAAATTTACCCTTATACTAGCCAGGAGGCAAAAAAAACTTTACCCTGTAAAAACTTGAACAATTTTTAAGGTACTATTAATTTTACCTATAGCTTAGCCGGCAACTTTTGGAAATTTTTTATATAAACTTTACCCAGTCTACATGACGGGAACATCTAATATAAGTTTCCGGGGTCCTATCCAACCAAACCAAATTACTGTAGAAGTCACGTGATTACCATCACTTCATTTCTATTTTTGTGAACCTACTGCGCAGTATCACACGAACAATTATTTCTATTCATATTTCTATATTTATATTTCAAGAACTTGTTCAGCTGATGCAAATATTTACTTTGAATTATTAATTATCATTTCGTAATGCTCAGTTGACCCAAATATTTATTTAGCATTAATAAGCATATTTTATTGGACAAAATAGAGTAGAATTCATGTTATTTGCAATACCTCAAGAGGTATAAAAAGACTTGGTTTAGACCAAGTCTGAAGGATCATGTTGATAACAATATTTTAATTATTGATCTAATAATTAATACTTCCTAACACTATTGTAATATAATATTATTATCACTAATAACACATAACATATTTTACCCTAAAAATATTAATCTTTAATTTAACTAATCACCTGTCAAAGGGAGACCTTTGCTACACCTAGCAAGTAACCACCACTTTAATTATTGAGATATATCTAAAGGGGACGCCTTTGGGATATAATTATTTACATAGAACCTAGAGACCCTTCTATCCAGGAAGATAAAAGTAATTTTGACTGTAAGTCAGCAGGTAGGCTGTGTGTCATACATATATATATATAAATAAAGGAAAATTGACTGTAAGTCAAGGGTAAGCTGTGTGTCAAACAATAAAATCAACTGTAAGTCAGCATGTAGGCTGTATGTTGAGCTTTAAATAACCTATTAGTTAGGAAACTCGGATTGCATGCTTGCACTATCAAAAAATATTATTTATTTTCAAGAAGTGAATTTAAATTACTTTACAGGATCATTTTGTGATCAAGAGGAGATGTGAATTGGTATTAGAAAAAAACGGAGATAGAATTTCTTATTAATTTTTATTTATTTAATAAAGTATTCGATAGGCTTTTAAATGAATCTAATTTTATTTGTTTATCTTGCATAATTGTTAAGATATGCAATTTTTTGTGCGCGCCCTTTTTTTTGAAACACACTGTATTTACGGCAAATGGTAGCTATTTATGGCAATAGTAGCTACCAGCCCAATCATTTACGGCAAGTGTCTTTAATGTAGAGATATTATAAAAGTATCTTAACTTATAAATGTAAAGCTTTAAAGGAAGATTTAATCAAAAATTCAATTTTGTTTTTCTAATAAATTTGATCTTATAATTTTGTATTTTCTTAATAATTTTCGAACTTAGCGCAGTCATTGTTGCACCGTTTAGATGAATTTAAATTTAGTTAATAATATTAATATTAATACTAAAAAAAATGGATGAACAAATTGAATCGGTGAGCATAACAAAACATTATCATTCTAAAAAATAAATTAAAAATATTAATTTTTCTAAATGAATTAATTAAAGTTATTAGAATTTTTACATGATAATAATTCAAATGTAAGATGGATGATTACGTTTTTATTTCCTATTCTTTTTAAAATCTTGAAAAGAGACACCTACTCTATAGCTTCCATCACCCAAAAAACTAATATCCGTATTTTTTTTAGGTCCGTAAAATAGCACTTGAACATTTATTAGGATATACAATTGATACTTCACCATATAAATCTATATTTAAACGTAACAATTTTAAACCTATAGAGGATTTAAAAAAACTTTGTAATGATGATATACCAGTTAGTACCCTATTTTTACCTCTATTGCTTTAGAATATTATTTATTTATTTACTAATGACGATGTTATTGTTTTGTTAGAATATTGCACATGATGCATTTAAAGCTTTAGTGAACCTTTCAAGCGATCAAGAAATTTATAAAAGATTAAATGATGATGATTTTTTATTAATACTGGTAACAACAATCATGGTAAAAATAAAGTATTTATATATTTATTTTAAGGGAAGGGATTAATAATGATTATGATGATGATAATAATAATAATACTTTATTATAAGGATTCTGAGGCAATATTTTCAGATTTAGCATGCATGCTATTATCAAATCTAACAAAAGATGAAAAAATTATTGTAAAAATATTATCATTTCATCAAAAAACAAAACAAAAACAAACCCAGAATCAGAATAATTCTTCAAAAACAGCATGCTTGATAATTGACCAATTAGTGGATATATTTGTTAAAGGTTTAGATAGAAAATATAACAAAAATGCAGAATTTCATTTCTTAGCAAGTGTTTTTGCTAATGTTTCAATGGTAAAAAAATAACTTTTATCAATAGTATTTATTAAAATATTAGACGATTAATTTTATAATTGGATTTTTTTTAAATTTGGGAAAATGAATAAACATTATTTATGAATGTAAAGTTACCTCAAGGCCGTGAATATTTTCTAAATGAATCATCATCATCATCACCATCATCAATTAATGATAATGATAATATAGCACCAATCTCAAAATTAATTATATTCACTGAACATCCTAATTTGGTTAGAAGAGGTGGTGTGGACTCTTGTATAAAGTAATAATATATAGTATATGTTTATAAATATTTGTATATAGTTAAACAAAATAACCAACTTTATTATATTTTTATTTTTATCTAGAAATTGTTGTTTTGCAGTACATCATCATCCAAAGATGTTATCAAAATCAAATATAAACATTCTACCATATATACTATTACCATTATGTGGACCGGAAGAATTTGATTTGGAAGTATGTTGAATGCATTAATTTTATAACCGTAATTATTAACATTAATATATATTTTTTACATATATAATATAATAGGATATGGAAAATATGCCAGAAGATATTCAATTCTTACCTCCAGAAAAAGTAATTTCATTTTTTTAAGTATTTCATTTTTTGATAGACAATTTAAATTTAAACTTAATTTAATTTAATCAATTAGAAACGTGAACCAGATACAAATCTTAGAAAAATATTACTTGAAAGTTTATTATTATTAACTAGTACACAAGAAGTTCGTGAAATATTACGTGAGAAAAAAGTTTATATAATTATTAGACAATTGCATCTTGCTATTGTAAAAAAAATGCCATCTAATGAAAATGAAAACAATGTTGAAGAAGAAGTAATTATTGAAAAAATTGTAAATATGTTGATGAGAGATGAATCATTGTCTTCATCCAATACAAATACAAATGCTAATGATGTTGAAGATGATGAAGATTGTAAAATAGAAGAAATCTAGTAGTCTTGCATATTTCTTGGATATTTATTTTCTTTAAAAAAAAAATTAATAGAAAATTATAGCATTAAACTATCATTATCCACCTTTTCTTCTTGTTTATTTGGTGACCATTTCAAATAAACATTAGCACTACTAATATAAGAATGAACTATGATTTTTTATGCAACTTCTTTCCTTATTTTGTATTTCTCTGTCAATATATCACTATTTAGTTAGTAAACAAAATAAAAACAAGGAAAATATTATTTTGTATTTCTCTGTCAATATATCACTATTTAGTTAGTAAACAAAATAAAAACAAGGAAAATATTATTTTGTTTATTTTTTCAATAAAAATATAACCATTTACATCTATTCATTTATGTTATTTATATCAACTGCTATTATTTTCTAGTCATTGATAAATAATTTTACTTTAAATTATTCTCATTATTATTGTTATTGATAAAAATGATAGAAGTGATCCAGGAATTGATAAATAAAAGAAGTAATAATAAAAGATAACAAGAATGTTTTTTTATTTAGAAATAATCAATAATAATAGTAGTAATGATTTTATTTAAAAACAAATAAATCACATTTTTGCAATTATATGACTCCATTTTTGATACTAAGTCATCATAATTATAGTTGCAGACAGTTTCAGGTGTTGCAGAGGTTGTAGAAAAGGTCGCAACTCGAGCTTTAAAACTTGCAGTTGCAGAAGATGTGAAAACAGTTACAGACACCAACTTTAATGTCAATGATGATATCAAATGTATTGAGATAACCAATAAACATTCATGTTCAAGGAAAGATTAAGAAACCATCTTTTAATTGTTTTACTTTTTAATATTTTGTTCTTTGATTGGTCTTTCTCCAACTCTCTTTCTCTCATCTAATGGAGTTATCATTTTGTTATTTCTAGATTTTAAATTGATTACCATCAATGATGGAGCTAATTGATTAATTTTTTCAATTTCTCTTCATAAGTTACTGAACAATCATATTTTTTAAGCATTTAATTAAAACTATTCCACCGATTCATCTAAGCTTAATTCCATCATATACTTCTCTTCAATTTAAAACTATTATAAAACATACAAAGTGAACATAAAATTATATAGATAGGGATAAGTATATATGAAAAGTAATAATAAAAATATCAATTATAATGGTTCTAATAAATATGAAAAGGCAATTAACTTTTTTAGAAAAAGGTTGTGTTTGTGGTTGTTCTTCAAGAATTTCTAAGGAAAAATTAAGGGGATCTTTTCAAGCTCTCATTAAACCAGAAAAAAAGATATTTTTGATGACCCAACTTAAGGCAATCAATGGATGATGGATCAACAAGTAGTAGTAGATGTATTAAAAAAAAAACTAGGTCTAATAAAAGAACTCTCTATCACTGGGATCATAATACATCTCTTTGTCAAGAAATTTGTCTCAATATGTTGGGGATTGGTAGGACTTATTTTGAAAACATCAGAAATCATCTAATAAACAATAGTCTTCTGCCAAGAATTTATGGTAATATTAAAAAGATGCCTCAATGGAAAACTAAAATGTTGATTAATAAAAATGTTGCTGAAGTAGTAAAGAATTTTCTAAAAAATTATGCAGAAGTTCATGGATTACTAAGTCCAGGAAGAAGTACTAATAGAATAATTCAATTGTATTCTTACCAGCAGAAATGAACCACAAATCAGTGCATAGGGATTTCTGGCTGGTCTGGAAGAAGATGGCAAATTTAAATCCTTAAAGTATGATGCATTCAGGAAATTATGACATCAATTGACACCAGAGATTCAAATTATGAGTCCCAGGACTGACTGTGTGATGCTTGCCAACATTTTTGAAATGATTTACATTACAATGTTCATCAAGAGGAAAATGCTAAAGAGTTACTAAAAGATTCAAAGAACATTTGTCCAAGGCCAGATTAGAAAGAAATTATTATAATAAAAATACTAAATTGGCAGAAGAGCAAAGAAAATCAGTCAATCAAAATTATTCAAAGGGTAAAACACAATATTCAGTGCTGACAGCACTAATCATTATGGTTATGATTGAGCCCAAATGTTCATATACCACATTCAGATCAACAGGTAAGTAAAATCTATTCTTAGTTCATTCATTTGGTATCCAGGATGAAGCAGTAAGGAACAAATTAATTTGTGATACGTGAGAGAAGTAGATAAAAATCTATGTCAATCCGGGGCAAAAATGTGTAAAAATCGACGAATTGAGTATTTTTCTTCCAAGATAACATGACCAAAATATCCACAAACAAAAACATAACATGATTTTTAGATCCATTAATACCATAAAATTATCTTTATTAAAAAAAATTTTTTCATTTAATAAAAAAACAAACTTTACTTTTGGGCATCACTGGATTTGAAGTAAAAAAACCTAAATTCTCTGTGTAACTCTCATAGTTATTTTAAGAACTACTCAAAACTTGTCCACATAATTTCTTCCATCATCATTAAAGTCCTAGGAAATCATTTGCAGGAGAGTTAAATAATTTTCTTTATTGTTTCTAAATAAAAATTTGTTTTCTATTATTTATAATTTTATTAAGGAATGTATTATTAATAACAGTTCAAATAAGTTGATTTCTTATAGTGGGTGGGAAATTAGATCACAGACAACAAAGACATTGATATTAAACTATTCAAAACTTGACCACGTAATTTCTTCTGTCATCATTAAGTCTTGGGAAATAATTTTCTTGTTTTCTATTATGTATTTATAATTTTATCAAAAATTGTATCAATAATAATAACAGTTCAAATAAATTGTTTCCTTGTAGGAAATTAGATTACAGCAAATGCAAATTGTTAATATTAAAATTTCTTCTGTCATCATTAAGTCTTGGGGAATAATTTACAGGAGAGTTAAAATAATTTTCTTTATTTATAATTTTATTAAAGATTGTTTCAATAATAATATAATTGTTTTCTTGTAGTGGGCAGGAAATTAGATCACACCAAAAGCAAGTTGTTAATATTAAAATAATTGTATGATAAATTACTTGAAATTCATTTATTGTAATTTGCTAACATTTTATCAGCTACATCTCTTTTCATTTCTGCTGAGTATCTAGAAACCCAATTACGTATAGTTTCTACCTAGGAATTTCATCATGAGAAAGTTGGGTATTATGAACAGATTCTTCAATAAGTTCTTTATGCATATCCTCCGGTGTAAACCTTTGGATCTTATCATAATAATACAAAGCAAAAAATTTATATTATTTAGTTCAGTTAAAATTGTCATGCCTAAACAAATAGGGTAAAATTCCGAGCCATTTTCAGTAGAAATTTCATGCCACCAGTGATGAGCAAAAGGTCCATAGTATAAATTAAAGTCAATTATTCCTTGAGATGCAAGTGTTGGTGAAACTTCTTTATGTTTAGACATTTAAATAAAAATTTTATATTTATACAATATGTACAAAAAAATTTTTTTAATATATGAATAATTATATGGATGTGTCTGGATTCAGAAAATGAGACTTTTTATTAATAGATATTAACCCCGTTTTTTATTATTAAAAAATATGCCGATCATCTACTTCTATCACGTATCACGAATTAAACTAAAAATCACAAAATTTTTTATTTGAAAAACGCACAAGAAACGTAGAGTATAAATTTTTATCTGCCGAGCGTATGTAAAAGTTTGATTTTTTAAAAGTAATAGAATATTATTCTTTTCTTATTTGAAAAACATCCCTTTTTTTTTTTTAGAAAAACATTATTTCACAAAAATTTTGCAATTCAAATTAGCCAATCAGAAGTTCATATCCCTCAATTAAAAAAAAAAATAATAAATAATAAATGTATGCTCATATTTACATAAAAATAGAGCGATGAGGGTGTTTTCCACAATATAAGTAAAATTAATAAAAGTTTCATTCTAAGGAAACATGAAAATCTTGTTACACATCTAAACTCGATAAGTCGGACATTTATTTTATTATAAAGTACTTTAAACAATTGACCTATCGGGTTTAGATGTGTAATATTGAATTTATATGCAAAGTATTGGGTAAACTTTAAACAGCATGCACAGTATGTGAAACGTGTAGTTATGGAATATTTGTTATTATTATTGTAATATTTAAACATAAATAATATAAACGAATATTTTATATAAATCTATAAAAAATTCCATAAAAAAAAATCATAATTTAAAAAATGGATGACCAAAATCATCAAAATTATTTTGAAAATATTGATACTGATTTCAATAATAACGATAACTGGGTTAATGCTTTTAATAACCACAATCCTGTTAATCAAAATCTTGTTTCTACGAATCATCAAAACCTTGGAGACAATAATTACGTTCATCAAAACTCTGGAGGCGATAATTTCGATCACCAAAACAGCCAAAATACAGGAAATAATTACACTAATCAAAACTTTGGCGAAATTCTTCAAAGCATTGATAATTTCAATCAAAATTCTAGTCATAATGATATCATTTACCAGAATCCAATTACTGCTACGAACATTAATCAACCAAATAATCCTTTCGGGATCGGGGAAGGTTCCTATCAAAATGATTACTTTCAAAATTCTATTAATTCTATTATCACCATTGACCAAAACAATAACGAACAACTACTTGTTCACATAGAATCGCAACTTCGAAATATCCAAAATGACATAAACCAAGTAATTCAATTTTTAAATTATAGTCGCAACAATAATAGATAATTATGACATCGATTAATTCATTGGTTTATTTTTTCTATTAATTTGAATTTTTTTCGAATTGTATTTATATTTTTTTTGTAACTCCAGTTGGATTAATCGTAAATATATAATAAATAATAAACCAGACCTTTTAAATTTCATTAATGTATTCAGTAAGAAGGAAATTTCATTAGAAAAGAGCCATATACCCTAAAAATTGAAAATATGTAGATTACTATTGGTTTGAGGACAATTTTTACTAAACAAAGTAGTATATACGGCTTCGCATTCTACGTAAAAAGTTGCATATATTGGTATTAACTCAAAATTACTTTTTTTTTCACGG